GGGGGGGAGGGGACCACAAGAAAAAGGGTCTAGAATCGGCGTACACACTTTTGCTGGAAATTAATCAAGCTACCGTGTCCTAAGTCATTGTCGAATTTCTTCAATCTGAATAGAGTTAGATATCTTAGTTCAATTTATGATTTTAGTGTTTCGTTAAATTATTAACCTAAAACGAAAGTCATGTTTTTGAACAAAATGAATAAATAAACTTGAAGTAAAGATAAGGAAAACATATTCACTATACCATATAATATATTTAAAAGCAGGACGAATTTGAATCTGTATGTTTTCATTTCCTTTGACCTACGTCCTCTTTCACATAATATACTGATTAAGCGCACGATTTAGCATTTTCGTTCTATGCACAATTTTTATCACGTCATTTCGACAATTTTACCTGAAAACTTTTAAGCAAAACCATAATATCACTATTATATATTTTACTTTTAGGATAGCTGCGTCTGTGTAGAATAGTTATAATTTAAAAATCGAAAATAAATTGAAAAAATTTTCGACTCGGGCAGGACATTTTTTTAGGAAATTTTTTTTTCGATTTTTAAATTATATAGTGCCTTCATGCAATAACATGTGAAAAATATTAAAGTTTTCAAAGAATAGTTATTTTGGGGACATTTTTTTTTCAAACGATCGCTTCAGCTTTATAAATAATCGGTGTTACCCACGAAATAGTCCGCGTCCCGCCATGCAAGTGAATCTTTAAAAAACTGGCGTGCTTTTTTGAGATCATTTAAAAAGGAATAATTCTTTGATACATATTTTTTGGGTATCTTGAACCGTTTTGTCAGGGCACGCAACGGAAACCCACATCGATGTGATTTTTTCCCGTTTTTTCAACATTCCCTTCAATAGATCGCAGCTTGTATTTCATAAGCTCCTGAGAGTAGCCGGTTAAAAAAACAAACAAACTATATCCTTCTAATATAGCCGTATAATCGTTCGTAAGTACTATAATAGTTTATTTCCGCCTTGATCAACCAGAGAAGTCTAGGTTTTGATGTCTATAGTTGTTACGACTAGCTTTTAAATAAAACGGATCGGTAAAGGACTTTGAAGGTGAGTAGTATCGCCCCCAAGCCTTTTGAGGTAACAGGATATTTCCCATTAGTTCTTGGAGTTAGAAGATGCTAAGTATGATATAGTACACAATATTTAAATAAATATACTTGTTAAATGTGTACTTTATGAAAGTACACATTTTAAAATAGTACTTTTAACGGCTTAAAATACGAAATATATTAGTTACCTCATATATTTTTGCGTTTAAACTAAAATATAGTAACAGCTAAAACGTTTGGCCATAATTAAAAGAAATTGTACATAGGTTAACGAATATATATCGCGTTTTAAACCGTTAAAGTGTTCAACATACTTGAGGTAATCATGAAAATTTAATATAAATATGTATAAATACTTTGGATGAAAACGTGACATTTATAACAAAATTTTAACAAGACCACTGTTTTGAACCATTAAAATGTTTGATTTACCTAATCAAAGCATAAACAATATTTATTAATATAAGTTGGGATAAGTTTAATACGAAAACAAGTTTCGATTGATCCCTAAATGCAATCAGTGCGAATCCAATTACAAACTTACTACAAACAGGAAAAAGAGTTTAATTTACTGGTTAGATGGGTTCCGTATATCTGTTTTCGTATTTATGCAGATTCAATTAATTAGAATAGAGAGACCTTACGTTGAATATTTGTTGGACCCGTGTATCACCGTGATATATCCTTGGTTCGAGTTCCGGATTTTTTTAATAAATGAAGCATAGATTTATCAACTACTGATTGTAAATAAAATTGATGAGTAAAGCAGACATAGAAATGTTTTCTCGGTGCCTCATTTACAGGAACGTACTTTTAACTATTCCAGAAAATTAAACTACTAACAAGTTTATTCGTGCATTATTTTAAACAAACCATACTTTTCCTTATTTACAGAAATAGGCATTTAAATAAAATATTTTAACGGTTTAAAACTCGATATATTTTTAGTTAAACTTGTTTGAAAATTATTTTTAACTACGGCCCGACGTTTCGGATGCTTTGCAGCAGCCGTGGTCACGAGAAATAGACATCTCATGTCATACTGTAGTACTGTTTTATGTAGTCTGTGGTTGTTTAACGTGTTTATTTAATCTACGACATTCTCCCACTTCGTGAGTATTTTCCTACGGATCACTAAATTCAGCAAAGACGAGCGCAAGCAAATACAGTCTGGAGAACACTTGAATAGGGAATTGCTTTTTATTCATTTCCATTAAAGTACTTAATTGTTATTCTATAATTAGACCTAAGTGGATGTTACTAGATGAATTAAAAATCGAAAAAAGGACTAAAACCGGCATCTAAAGCCCATGTTACTGCTCTAACCAATTGCTCAACCACACACAACATACAAAAATATTTGTATACTGTCTGTAGTTTACGCGAGTAGGACATATTTAAATAAAACATATTAACGGTTTACAACGCGGTGTATTTTAGTTAAACTTGTTTGAAAATTATTTTTAACTACGGCCCGACGTTTCGGGGAGTCTCCCCGTGACCACGTTAATATTTTTTTAATATATTTAAAGTTATAAACACAATATCGTATTTAAACAAAACAATTTACCGGTTTAGAACGCGATGTCTATTTGTAAAAATAATTTCCAAACAAATCTAACTAATATACATCGAGTTTTAAACCGTTAAAGTGTTTTATTCATAAGATTTCGTATTTTGTGTGTGGACCAATTCAACATTCATTAATGAGAATATATGAATAAATTAGAAACAAACCCTTTCTTGAGCGGAGTCGAGCGTAAAATCGGGAAACATCAAGAAATATTATACAAACACTTTGCGTCAAAGGATAGCGCGCCTCATTAAAAAGTAAAAAGTGGGACATTAGCACAAACAAAGGGATTTGGGACGAGATTTCCTCGAGTCCGGACGAGCACTCTTGCCGAAATGGGACATACTGTATATGTCGCTTTGGAAGGAGAGTCTCGAGTACATTTTTAATTAAAAGAGGATATAAAATACATGTCACGTGGTTGAGACTAACGAAAACAAAGTGGACACAACATGAAAAACTTTTTTTAATGATAGAGGACATCTAAACAAAATGCGCCGTCGAGCTGTTTCGGCTTTGGATGTTCGGAAATCCACAGACTGAAACGAAGATTAAACGTCACTGCTTTTCATCTGTGGACAGTGGTACATATATGTGAAAAAAAAGTAAAACCCCGCTTCCCCCCTCGTACACATTTTCTGTCACACACATTTCACATTTCTGTGTCCGTTTCACTGACCCGTTCTTTTAACGGCCAAGTAGTTGATCAGACTTCTGTGCCCTGCCCGACTGAAACATTTTTTTTTGCGATTCGAACCCAGGACCTCTCGCGTTCAACGCAATGCTAGGCAATACGTTTAACCATTTGGATACAGAGGCGGTCTCACAGTGGAACATAACCCGCACGGAATTACAAAAATCCTATCATTTTCTAACGTCGAATATGTTTCAGAAACAATATAAATCGATAATAAACATTTTGTGTCCGTTGACGATCGAAACAACGACCGTTAATAATCAACATTATTAGCTAGATTATTGTTATTATTACAACAAGAAGTCCGTCAAACAAATGACAAATTAAAATAGTTTTTATAACTGCTTGCAACTGGAAAGAAAGAAATGGACGAGTTTCTTTCGATTTCAGCGTCAATTAAAACTTTTGTCATTAAACTTGGTGGGTCTTACAAATTACCTAACTCCGGGTAATGATAAATAAGCAGGAAAGGTATTAAGGTAAAATTGTAATTGACGATTTTTATAAGTTTTTATTTTGTAAGTTTTTCGCGGCGTTGTACACATTTTTAAAGAGTAAGTCGTATCGTAATGGTAGTGTATTTTTTCTCACTTGACAAAATACTTTATAGTTTAAATAAAACACTTTAACGGTTTAAAACGCGTTATATTAGTTAAACTTATTTGAAAATGATTTTTAACTTCGGCCCGACGTTTCGGATGCTTTGCAGCAGCCGTGGTCACGGGGAGACTAAAGATGGAGGATGTCTCTGACGTCAAAGTAAAAATATTGCTACGCTAGCGCCATCTGTTCCGTCGAAGTTGGTATTTGGCGAAAGGGGGGGGGGGGGGGGGGGGGGGGGGGGGGGGGGGGGGGGGGGGGGGGGGGGGGGGTGGGTTTGGGGGGGTTTTTTTTAGAGGGGTGGCCCCCCGGGACAATTGGGGGGTTTTTTTAAAATTGTGGGGGGGGGGGTTGGGGGGGGGGGGGAAAAAAACCCCCCTTTTTTTAAATTTTTTTATTTAAAAACCCCAGGGAGAAGGGGGGTTTTTTTTAAAGGGGGAGAATTTTTTTCCAAATAAAGAAAGAAAGAAAAAAAAATATTTACTACTAAGGCACGCAAAAACACATGTTACACTTGTTACTAAAACAAAAAAAAAACATAATTTTTTCTTAACAGTATAACTTAATATAACAAGATAGGATAATGTTGTGTGCTGCTAGTAGAAAAAAAAAAAAAAAAAAAAAAAAAAACCCCCCCTTTGGAAAAAAAAAAAAAAAAAAAAAATTTGGGGGGGGGGGGGGGGGGGGCCCCCCCCCCAAAAAAAAAAAAAAAAAAAAAGGGGGGGGGGGGGAAAAAAAAAAGGGGGGAAAAAAAAAAAAAAAAAAAGGAAGGGGGGCCCCCCCCCCCCCCCCCCCCACAAAAAAAAAAAAAAAAAGGGGAAAAAAATAAGGGTTTCCCCCGACAGCGCCCCCAACGGCGGTTTTTTGTAACGATAGCAAGTATTTTTATATCGTATGACACAGGGGTAAAGAAATATAGATTAAAGTTAGACCTAACCCTTTTTTATTTGTTGTATCATTAATGTTTAACTTAATTCAGTCTGCGTTCGCGCGTCGTGTCGTGCGGTCATTGACCGACGTCAGCTGTTCGGTGTTTTGTTAAGTAACCAACAAAATGTCGTGTGAAATAGTAAAATGCAATAGTTGTAAAATAGTAATTAATGAATTACTTGCTTTCGTGCAAAACAAGTGTGATGTCATGGATGTGGAAGGAATTGTCAGGCTCTGTGTTTTATCCTTTACACAGACGGAAATTGAAGTGGCAAAGAAACTACTCATCCAATCTCTCTCGCCTAGCAAAAAAAGGGTGTTATGCAAAAAGGGAACAAAAGCTGAACGTGATTTACGAGATATTGTTGCGTTTTTAAAGGTATGTGAACCCGAATCCATACCCATATTCGTAGCAAAAGACTTACAAAAATTGCCACCGATTACTTTTGATCACATTGACGTCACTCGGGTCCTCAAAGACTTGATCGTCATACAAAACGAAGTGAAGAAAATTAGTTCGACCTACCTTACTAAGGACGAATTTTACAAAAATTGCAACATGCAAGGTAGTCCTGATAGAACCGTTAATTTTAAACGCGGAGGGCACATTCGTACAACCGAATCAGCTGATATCTCAGCGCATGCGCATCGGTCACCGCCCGCTTGTCGTCTATCTCATTCTATCTCGGGGAGTGAGCGCGAGGAGGCGATCTCGCTCCCGCTTGCGGCAACGTCGGCAATCACCGGTACCGGTTCGGAGGCCCCTACCGCGGTTTCGCCGAGCCTTTGTTGTGTGACTCGTGCGTCGGAGTCGAGGCAATTATGCGCTAACATAACGGGTAATAACGATAAGGAAAGTAATGTTGAATGGCAAACAGTGCAAAGAAAAAAGGGACGCAAATATAAATATATTGGTCAAAGAGGGGAAGCGGTAATTGATGCCGATAGTAAATTCAAGCCTGCAGAATTGTACGTACCTTTATTCATCAATAGGGTCAATAAGTGTACGTCAGAAAAGGACATTCACGATTATCTCGTGAATAAGACGCGCGCTGAGGTGAAAGTTCAGAAAATAACATCGAAACAAGACAAAAGCTACGATGCCTACAAGGTATCTGTCCCAAGGCTTAAACTGAATATTTTCTTAGATGGAAGCCTATGGCCTGAAGGTGTTACGTATCGTCGTTTTATTAACTATGGACCTGGATCCCATAAAGGGCTGAAAGATAATATACATAAATAGTTTTAATGGATAAGTCGTGCAAACTAATTAGCTTTAATTGCAAGTCAGTTACGAGATGTGTCGATTATGTACGCAAATTGTGCCAACGTGCGGATATACTTGCCCTGCAGGAAACCTGGCTTCTGCCGCACGATTTGCAGTACTTAAACAAGATTGACGAAGACTTTGGTTGCACTGGGACTTCCGCAGTAGACACCTCTGCCGGTATTCTTAGAGGGAGGCCATACGGCGGTGTTGCACTACTTTGGCGAAAAAATGCCTTTAGTTCTGTGACAGTGTTACATTGTGCGAGTGTGCGGCTGGCGGCAATTCGAGTGATTACGGGTGATACTAGTTTCCTCGTATTTTCGGTCTATATGCCTGTAGATTGTGGTGAAAATCTGCCTGAATTTACGGAGTGTCTGGCCGAAATAAATGCTATTGTTGAGAGCTCTAACGTCGCGAGTGCTTTTATTTTAGGGGACTTTAATGCCCACCCTGATGCTCACTTTGGCAAGGAGCTGTCGCACTTCTGTAGTGAGCAACGGTGGCGCTGTGCGGACATGGAGTTCTTAGGCATTGCGTCCGATAATTTTACTTTTATAAGCGACGCTAATGGAAGTCACCGATGGCTCGACCACTGCATCGTTACGGAGGCGGCCTACAATGCGATTTCAAGTGTTAACATACTCTACGACTCCTCGTGGTCTGACCATTTACCACTACTAATAAACTGTAATATTGGTGTTTTGTGTTCGGGATCGGTTGAGGTAGATCGAAATAAGCATAAGATTCGCTGGGGTGAGCGTAACAGTGAGCAAATCGATCGCTATCGCGCTTTATGTAGTGCTAAGTTGAAAGATGTTAGCTTCCCGAATGAATTGAGTGGTTGTTGTGACCAAATGTGTAGCAATATTTTACATAGAAATACTATAGATAATTTGTATGCGCATATTATAGACATTCTATCGGCGGCAGCAGAAAGCACATATTATTATAAAAGTACTGTAAATAAGGGTAAGAAAACTGTGGTGGGGTGGAATAGGCATGTTTATCCGTTGCATAAAGAGGCACGGCATCATTTTCTTTATTGGAAGGCGCACGGGCGTCCAACCGCGGGTCCTCTTTATGATAACATGACGAAAACGCGGCGTTTATTTAAAGCCAAGTTGAAATGGTGTCAAAATAACGCAGATCGGATAAGGATGGATATTCTTGCCTCCCACAATACAAACAAGAACTTCAGGCAATTCTGGAAATGTACAAATAAGCTGAACTATAGGGCTAGTGTTCCCCAGAGTGTGGGTGGTGTCTCAGAACCGGAACAAATAGCAAACTTATTTAAAGAGCATTTTAGAGTCGAGCCGCCACCTGCATCTTCGGCGTCGGTGCTCGCTGCTGAGGCCTGTCGCGCTATTTCTAGCCCTCTGGGGTTCAGTTCGAGAGAGGTAGCTTCATGTTTAAAACGAATAAATAGGGGTAAATCTCCGGGACACGATGGACTCAGTATCGAGCATCTGGTGCATGCTGGTGAGCACCTGCCTAGAGTGTTATCAATGTTTTACACGTTTTGTATAAGGCATTCATATCTTCCAGCGGCATGTATGAAGACCATTGTTGTACCAGTAATCAAAAATAAAACGGGAGATCTTTCGCAAATAGATAATTACAGGCCTATCTCATTAGCTACGATAGTCGCGAAGGTGCTGGACAGTCTGCTTAATGACCACCTTTGCAAACACGTAGATCTAGATGACGCACAGTTCGGTTTCAGGCCGGGCTTGTCCACGGAAAGTGCAATATTCTGTCTTAAGCAGACGGTCCAGTACTACACCGCCAAAAGCACCTCGGTCTTTGCGTGTTTTTTAGATATGTCCAGGGCGTTTGATACAATTTCTTATGACCTTCTTATGCACAAATTAAGAACGAAGACAAGGGTTTCAGAGGAAGTTGTAGGAGTTTTTGATTATTGGTACTCCAATCAGGAGAATTGTGTAAGATGGAGTAATGTGGAGTCTGAGACGTATGGGCTAAAGTGTGGGGTAAGGCAGGGGGGGGGTTACATCTACCTGTCTTTTCAACCTATACGTCAATGACCTCATAGAGCGTCTTAGGAGCAGTGGTGTAGGCTGCTCAATAGATGGAATAAGTGTGAACAACATTAATTATGCTGATGATATGGTGTTGCTAGCTCCCTCGGTGAGCGCCATCCGAAAGCTCTTAAAAATCTGTGAAGACTTTGCTGATGCTCATGGCCTCAGCTACAATACAGCCAAAAGTAAGTTACTCGTTTTTCAATCGCGAGGTGATAAGATAGGCGTAGTTCCTGCAATAATGCTCAAAGGTGTACCACTACAACGAGTAACTGAGTATAAGTACTTAGGTCATTGTGTCACGGAGGACCTTTCGGATGGAGCTGACCTGGAGAGAGAAAGGAGGGCTATGGCGGTAAGGGGTAACATGTTGGCCCGTAGGTTTGCACGAAGCTCAAACGATGTCAAAATCGTCTTATTTAAGGCTTATTGCCAATCATTCTACTCGTGCAGCTTATGGGCCTCCTTTACACAGAGAGCACTGCATGCTATTCGTGTGCAATACAACAATGTTTTCAGGTTGTTATTGGGCTTGCCAAGATACTGTAGTGCGTCGGGCATGTTTGCGGATGCACGTACAGATGGTTTCCACGCCATCATCCGCAAGCGTGTAGCTTCCCTCATGTATCGGGTTCGACAAAGCACCAATGGCATTCTGGGGGCATTGTGTGAAAAGTATACGGTGCTGCTAAAACGATGGAGTGACGTCCATGCTCCCCCTTAGCGCCTAGCACCTATTCTATGTATTCTGTCTATTTAATTTTAGTGACTAACACATTCTAATATACATTTTAAGTTAAAAATTGTTACTAACCCAACTAACGCACATTAGAATTAATTAATTATGTATTATTTTAAAATAATGTATGGATCTATGGTCTGACAAATAAATTATTATTGATTATTAGTCATATATTGACAATTGACATGGTCGCTCAATTGGTACAGCAACAGAACGGAACGGTGTGGATGCCGGTGGTGTCGTAATTTTTTTTCAATTTAAAAACGATTTTTAATTTAATATACAAAATATTAAACACTGAACTAGTTTCATATTTTCACCTAAGTATGTAATTATACACTTTTGACTTGATAAATTTGCTCGCTAATAACTTGAGAGTGCTCAAATTTTAAGTCAAGCGTGTACGAAGTATAGCGTTTTTTAAACTTTGATAAATGTGTCATACAGGATATATAATGATACAAACATACATACATACATAGATGAATCAACTTAAAATAAATTGAAAAAAAATTTCAACTCGGGCAGGACCTGAACCGGCATCGTCAGCGTTCCGTGCTGTTGATTTGACCAACCACCGACCAATTGAGCTGCCGAGTAAAAAAAAAATCTTTCTTCATTTATTTTCGATTTTTAAATTATATAGTGCCTTCATGTGCAAAATATACAATTTTTCAAACAACCAATTACTACTGTTCCACCAACGAGTATAAACATAATAGCTTTTGTCATGAATGAGAAATTAAACATAGTTTATATCTCTTAGTTGAAAAGTTAAAGTTTGATACTTCTACCAAAAAACACTGCGATTTCCGTATGATGTCAGTATTTTTAAAAAAAAAAAGGTGAACGTAGTAAATCATGGGTCAAATTTACTTTAAAACAATCCAAAAATAATATTTAGTATATATAATTCAGTGATGTGAGGGAACCGGTAGAACTACTGGTGCGGTCGTAGCTTCGATTTCCGCACGTGGCATTTCTTTCTCATTTTCTCGGTAGTTTAGGATTATCTATGCTTGACTAGGACAAGCAAAAAATGTCTAGCGCCATATAAATAGAAATAGATCGTTATTACAATTTTAGCTGGTATTTTTAGTATTGTGTTGAAACTTATCGTTAAAAGGGGTGAAAGGGGGTAGAAAGTATCGGAAGGTGGGTGAAAGCGCGGGACGGCCTAGTCGTAATAAATTGTTGACATGAATCATAGTACGCACCAATAAGTCACACGAAATCCAATGTGGAGGAGATCGTGAAATAGAGGTGCAAATACAATAAACCATACTGAAAACCATAAATAACTAACTCGCAGTGAAGGTGTAAATCATAACACGTCAACACACAGGCGTGAATTAGTTTAACTGCCTATCGATAGTGGCTAGTTTCAAAGTATTTTTCGATGTCTAAAATTTTTAAACTAGACATTTAACGTTTAAATAAAACACTTTAACGGTTTAAAACGCTATATATATTAGTTAAACTTATGAAAATTATTTTTAACTTCGGCCCGACGTTTCGGATGCCTTGCGGCAGCCGTAGGTCAAGGGTATGATACGGCAATAAGTTTAACTAATATATATCGCGTTTTAAACCGTTAAAGTGTTTTATTTAAATGTGTTCTATTCGCGTAAACTATAGACAGTATTTAGATAGTTAACTTCATTTAATTTACAATTATAATTAAAATTAAATGAAATTTGTATAATATACCTTTTTTAACCGTTATAAGTGTCTTATTTAATATTATACTCGCGTAGACTACATAGCATGGAATATCCAAAATCCAATAAGGTTGACAGAGCATCTTGTTCGTGTTTGTCTGTTCTTATAAAAAATATTTTACTTTTTCGTAAATATATTCAAATGAGATCAATTTGATGGAATTATAATTTCTTCTAATGTAAAAAGTCGTATATCCTACACATACTATGGGGGCTTAAGTGGACTTCAATAAAACGCTTTAAACGGTTTAAAATGCAAAATATATATGTTAGTAGTAAGAGACTTTACGGCTGCTGCAAAGCATCCGAAACCTTAGGCCGTAGTTAAAACAAAATTGTATATGAAATAAGTAATATATGTCTCGTTTTAAACCGTTAAAAGTGTTTTATATTAGTGTACTATTAGCATAGACAGATAAGGCTTAAGTGGGAAATGGAACAGAACCATTTCAGGGATAGTATTACATAAATATATCAATTATGTCTAACTCGATACAGATGTGCTACGGCGTAGCACGTCTACGACTTGAGTCATTCATCATCTTTAACAGTTACCACAGCTTAAAGCGTGCTTTTACAAGACGTTAACTAAATGCAAGGTTTTATTTAATATAGATGAAGACAGTTCACTTGATGGTAGGTATACCCCAGCCTATAGCATCTAAACGAGATGCGCTGTAGATCTATTTAGGCTTTGGATATTGCGAAATCCACAGACTGAAGCCAAAACGCGATAAAACTTCACGGTTTTTTCATCTGTGGTCGATGATTCGTGACCCGGACGGAATTCGATATTCTCACATCGCATTTACCATCCAGATGTTCAGACGAAGTCCGACATGTTTCGAAAAATTATAAGCTAATTAGAAAAATGTGGACACGGTGTGAAACGAACCCACGACCCGTACATTGCTACCATTATACCAACGAGCCCGTCCAATGCTTTCGATACTTCCGACATAAGCCGAATCCTCATGACGTTTGTTATCATCTTTTGGTACACGACCAGTACCGACGAACCCTCGTCGCCACACGTTTGGTCGAAATCGAATCATTATAAAGTAATAAATGAAGCCACATGGCTTCTACAAGGGCGTAACAAAGTGGTTCGCTTAAGACGTTTAATCTCAGAAGGAAATTAATAATGTATTGAGTTGAAACTGTTCTAGCGTACCTTGCCATTCCTGCACTTTCAAATTACTGGTTTATTCCAC